AAGGTATTACGACATCACTTGCGGTGCAACTTCTGTGCCAAAGCAACACACTTGTGCGAATCGGGTCGTTTTGACAAATCCGTCGGTAATGCACCAAAGAACTGCCAAAGCATCCTTGCTCGTTTGCGGAACGCAGACTTTGTCAGCAATTCACGTGGCGAAGATTGGAAGCAAAACTGCAAGGCTGATTCCAATCTCGGAGTCTGTCGTTCTGCTCGCTTCTATTTGAACGCTCTTGTCAATCACGACTTTAACAGGAAAGGAACTTGTGGCTTCCGACGTGCTGAAGCACACGAAGTGGAGTGAGCACCGGATGTCGATGTTGTAAGTTGTCTCGAAAACGAGGTGGTCGCAGCCGATGATGAATCAATGAAAATGAAGTCGACGAAGATGACCCCTGTCATGACGTTTCGCTGGCATCAGACGAAGATGAATGATGACGACGACGAAGGAGGCTTTGTGCGATTGATCGGCGGACGATTCTTCTTGTTGAGAATTGTTGAGTGTCTTCTTCATCGAACTTGGGGGGTGTTTGCACTCACGAGCTTGGACCAGTCGGTTGTTGACAAGACCTGGCTCCATTGGTTGCTGACTGATCTTCGGTTCACGGTGAAACATGAAAGGCGCTACTACAGATGAAGCACATTGATCCAGCACAGGGGGCAGTATCTAGAATTGGGAAGACCGAACATCTGAGCACGGCATAATTACACTACATCATGTGTTGATTATGTTTGCCCTGGTTGTCAAAATTGGCCCGGCGAGGGGCTGTTACTGCTTCACAAGTTTTGCAAAGTGCTCAGGCCGAAAGTTGTTTGTGCTTGCTATCTCACGGCAGGCAGGTCGTTTTCTTCGATCAGCGTTGTCGCGCGATTTCCAAGTTCTGTACTCGGAACTGCAATGCTGAGATGTCGTGATTGGTGGCTGAAAAAAAGGCCCGAAGCAACCGGACCGTTCACCGATGTGTCATCAGTTTCTGAAAAAGGCGTGGATGACGCTTCTTGTCTTGCACAATCTCCAGGAGAGCTTGTAATGCTCGTTGATGTCGGACTTCCGACATAGGAGGCTGTTGATCTTGTCTGTCAACATTATCCAGGGAAGCCATGGTTCTGTAGGCGCAAACATGTCTATCAAAGCTGATCACACATCGGACATGTTGATTGCCAAGTATCTCAGAACTGACATGGATTTAGTCTGTCCATTGGCACATGCACAAGGACATGAGGTGATTCAAGAAAGCATCAGTTGACTTCAACTTGTTACAGATGGCGAATCAACTGCGAGGGAAATCCCGTTGAATGCGAAACTGCTTGAGAACACGTGCTTGTCCTTCCGGATTGGAAGGGGGCCAGATATCGGCCGGAGACCCGATAATAAACGAGTTTCTGAATCAGCCGCTTTCTGATGTCCCACTTGCCGTAAAGACTGCAAAGGAATGAAGTGGACTTCTCCTGCATGCACGCATACTCGAAAACCAAGTAAGTGATCATCTCCCAGGTCTTGAAGTTCGATAGGTGCACCATAGAAGGATGAAGAGCAAAGAGTTCGGAGTGCCAGGTCTTGCATGCCATGGTTGGAGGCAATGATCAAGCGATTGTCCGCATACCTGACAATAATAGATCTCCTATGAACTTGGGAAGATGCAAACAATCTTCGCCAGCCTATTTCGGTGCAAACGACTGGGAGGGAGCTGAGAGCGGGAGAGATCTGGTTCCCGATAAATGTTCCATCGTGCTGTTTCCGGCACCTCCCACAGGCTTGGAATGTTCCACAACTGCTGAATGAATGTGACTTGCAATGTCTTCAGCGTCAATGACTTTCCAACACTGAGGATCTCCGGCCTGCTTTGTGTTGCCAGCAATGCTCTTGACAGATCTGGTCTCGGGCTGTATATTGTCATTCAAGCACTGTGACTGTGACTGACTCGAAAACCTTCGCAATCCGATCTTGAGGAACGTTGTTGAAGAACCCAAGAAGGTAGTCATTAGTCAGAGAGGGAGCCACATCTTCTGGGGTGTCACGAAGAAGCACATGGAGCTTGTGCCAAATTTGGGGTAAGGTCAAGGACCCAAAGTTTTTCTGGAAAACGTGACTGCATCATCTGTTCAATGGTTGACGCTGTACCACGTTGCAGTCGTTCTGTGCTGGATGAACTGTATGTCCTTTGCGAAACTATCTCTTCTCTTTCGAGGTCACGCAGCCTAGTGGGAGTCTTGCATCAGCATTGATGCCAAAGGCGTCTCTCTTTCGAACATGAGCTGGAATTGGAGCATGCATCCTGCATCGCTCTGGTGATGCGTTGATTTGCAGAAGTTGGCGCTGTTTTCCAAACATTGACTGAGAATGGAACTGCGGGCAAAACACCGTAAGGCGTGTAGCTTGATGGTCTGCCAGGTGAGACGCAAGACAGGTTTGCAGCATGCTCAAAGCGCGTCTGATCTTGCGCCTTGTAATAGAGACCGATCTTCTTTAAGAGCTTGCCCATGCTGTTCCCACTGCTGGCGCATCAAGCCGTGACAGAAATCTTCAAAGATGCCAGCAAGAAAACCTTGTCGCTGAAACCATTGTGTTTGGAGCAGATACAGGCGGTCAAACGTGCTCCATGTAGGGCACACTGTGGAAGACGAACTGAAAGACAAGTACTGCGTGATGCGTTCCGCACATCCAATAAAACTGCACTGTATGCCATGTGTCCATCCACTGATTGAACCTGCCTGTGATGCTGTTGAAGCAGCTTGCAATGACAAGGCACTGTACTCGGGTCAAGGTCAATTGGCTTCGATTCTCAAGGTTTGAAGTTGAAGGGCAACTTCTGGATAGAAATGTGTGCTGCCTCTGCAATTCTGCTTCATGGCACATGCCCGGGAATAAGCCACTGTTTGAAACGCTGAATCATCGCTGAAGCTGAAGTCTTTTCGTAGCGTGAGTAAGCAACGGTATGGCAACGTTCTTTGATTCGACGGAACGCTGCATCGATATGCCCAACTTGCCAACTCGAGACTTCATGGGCAGAACAACGTTTTGCACAGTGCGCCAAATGGTATACGCTTCCTGGTCAGGGACTTTCTGGGACCTAACGCCCGATTTTGTTGAGCAAGATGGTAGATGATCTCAATGGCTTGGCTTTTTGTAACCGCTGACTGTGGTATGAGTGCATCCGTCTGCGAAGTCTAGAGAACAGTCTGCTGAAAATTGGTGTAGGTCGTCCGTCCCATTGCATTGCGACGAGATACCACTTTGTCCCATGCAGCCTTGTTGGCCAAGTACCGATGAACAAAAGGGTGATTAAGTCGAGGGTGCCACAGATCGATCAGCACATGTTTTGGAATCCAAAGGCGAATTGTCCCAGCTGTGCACAAAAATTGTTGCGTGACTTCTGCACGCTTGGCGGCGACTTTCTGGCTCAGTTCTTGCACGTATCAGGCTGCAAGTATGGTTGCCAGAGCAAGAACAGCGGCTATAGCGGCTAGGGACTTCATGATCGCGAGTTCACGACTCGTATCCTTGTCCAAGCAAGCTCTGCGAGAATCAATCTGGCTTGCGAATGAGCTGCTCATACTCTGCAAACTTGATGGCCCCGAGAGTCTTTTTGTAGGTTTTGTCCAATTCTGCACTGCTTCCCAGGACTGTCCTTGGAGCTTTTTTGCGGAGTTGTTGAGGATCTCTTCGGGGATTTCATCAAACTTGTGATTGGCGATGGGCGCGGGAATGCTCGGGTCTTGTACATGTAGAACGTTAGAGGACAACGGGGAACTCGTCCTTTGTGACGGTGGTGCGCGGATGGCTTGGCTGCGGAAACTTCCACACCATGTGCTCGAAGATGTTCTTTCCGACCAGCAAGCTCTGTCTCGAGTTGAACAACTAAGTTGCAGGACTAAGTTGCACTGGTGCAGGTGGTTCCAAGACATTAACAACTGCATCGATCAAGGCTTACTACAGCTGCGATACATCCGTATTCTTGGCTGGCACTGGTTGCGTTGTGTTTGCTTGCTTCCAGATATTCTTTGCACACCCATCCACACAGACAATCGCGCTTCCCTGAGTATCAACAGTGCTGCACTCCGCCCCGCCCCTGCCCGCCCTGTTGTTTTCTTCGGGCCGCGGCGAGCCAGAACGACGCAAAATGGCAGATGCCTAAACCCCATGGTTTCCGGTGTTTCACCGAGACAGTTTTCAGTCGTCTACTGAACCAACCAGCTTAGTTGACATTGGAGCATCTATCAATTCAACAGCCGTGCGGGCACTGTGCTCCGTTGGCAGCCCTTGTAGCTGAGTAGGTGATGGTGCCGTTTCGCTTCAGGGTTGGTCTTCTGGCCAACGCCTACCAAACTGAGCCAAGCATGGTATTTCAGTTCCAAGTGCACACTCCGGCCAGAGAAATGCACCAATGGAAAGTGGTCGGCCGCGATCTTTTTTGAGCTTGGTTTGGGGTCCAAGATGCCCTCGATGCTCGCATCTACACGCACAATCTCATGCACACCTCGGCCAAAGCTCAGCTTGCCCGTGGAGACGTAGGACTCCGTAGGACGTAGGGTATTGCAACTACAGGTCCACTTTCGGGGAGGAAGTTGAGGCAGGATCATTTCTCTAAGAGCATCCTATGACCATGGCCTGGCGCGATGAAGGTCCTACTCAAGGGCCCTGGAGGCGTCATGGCAGCAACTGTGCCTCGGCTCGGAATTTGTCAGGCAGCGTTCCGGTTTGTTCTGCTTCTAGTGATGCTTCGCCGTCCAGAGGATGCAAACGACTCTCCTGCCTTGGCAGAACCTGAAGAGGAGGTGGCTTGCAAAAGGTTTGTCGGAGCCCCAACTCAACCAGCCTTCCATCTGCAGGACTGCAGCCCCCGGGCGCCCGCCAGTGCACCCAGCTTTCGGCTTTTGGAAACGGTTTGTGCTCAGTCATGCAGCTACACACAGACGTCCTGCAGTGTATCAGGGCTCAGGCCTTCAGCTCATGTGCTTAAGGGCACATGTGCTTTTCATAGGACGTGGAGATTGGCGATGGTATTGTCACTCAAAACTAGCCTGGTGCTGCATCTGCAGGCAGAGCTTCTTTGCGTTCGAATCCAGTTCGGGAGTCTAACGTTGGCAAAGCGTCAGACTTGTTTGCAAGCGCGGCGAAAAGGCGTTCTTCCTTCTCTTCAGCCCAACATCATGTACAACGCACGCGGCCGAGCTTGAAGCAACCGGCCATGCAAGCACCTTGAGCTGGAAAGTTTTGACGTGCTGAAGGCTTTGTAATCCAGATACAGTCTTGAAATCGTCCGTGTTTTGATTTGCAGATATGCGTGAGTGCTTCAGCACAGCTTAGAGCAAGTCCCCTCCAGTTACATGTCCGACAGGTCTGCACCAAGTGCAGCACAATCAGGGCAAGAGGCACGCGGATGGGCTGCAACCCCAGATGCTCCGCCGGGAAGATGTGGGCTCTGCATCCAGAGAAGCGAGCTATCACGTGACTTCAGACGGGCGGCATGCGTGGCAAGGCTTTGGGGACGCGGCCTTTGTTCAGCAAAGTCGCCGGGCTCATCGAGACGTGAATGGGACGCACACAGTGGAAGTTGAGGATGGTGCGGTCGACACAGCCACCGATGTTGTGAACGAGCTGTCGGCATCAACTGGAGAACCCACAGAATCAGAGCCAGAGCCAGAAAGAGTAGACAGGAGAAATGCCACGGGGATTCATGGCCCTGCAGGCAGACCCGCTCTGGTCTTTGCAGGCATGTACGGCAGCGCAGGACCAGCCGGGCCACGTGGAGCGACTGGCCCTGCGGGGGTCCTGGGGCCACGAGGCCCAGCTGGGGCATCCGTTGTTGGCCCTGCCGGAGCCCCTGGAATTGCCGGCAGCCCCGGGTCGAAAGGCAAGCTCGGCGCACTTGGCCTGAAAGGTGTCCAGGGCCACGCTGGGACTCCCGGAGGGCCGCCGCCGGAGCTGGACAAGTGGACCAAACTGCTGGATTACTACACCGAGATGATCTACCGAATGGAAAGTGCGGCCTCCACACACGTCCGAGGCCTCCAGAACGATTTAGAATCCAGCTAAGTCCGAGAAAACACTGCTTGCTCTCCCTCGCACCGCGGAGTGCATGAGCTGACACGGAGCAATCAGTATATTCGTATATAACTAACGGGAAACAAACGCCTGGTTTTGCACGATCGTGAGCCAGCTGTGTGCTTAAAGGTCTTGATGATCGTGGGATCACAGATCTTGAGTTAAGTCTGCCGGAGGCTTCAAGCGTGAAGCATCAATGCTGCAGCAGCGGACCGCCCTCTTCAAAGCACGGACGGACAGCCTGAACAATCGTTCTGCTGAGCTGCACCGCTACATGGTAGATCCCTGGTGGCATTTTCGGACGTTTCTAGAGACCTGCGTGCTGCCGTGCTTGCCCAAGTCTTGTCACTGACAATCAGGACAACTACAAGCGCATGGTGAAATCCGTAAGCTCAGCACGAGAAGTGGATGGCTTCGTTGAGGGGACAGCAGGGTTTCCATCAGACACGCTAATGATTCATTCTGTTAGTGACTCCAGTAAAGGTATGGAGGTGTGCATGTCCAGCTTATCAGGATGCCTTTGGCAACATCGCTGTCTGCATTGAGCCCTGACTCATCCAGCCTCCGTAGCGAAGAAGGTTGAGCGATTGCAATTACAGCACCGAGCATGTGACTCATATGTCATGCATCCCAGGCATGAGGCACAGCAGCTGTACCCGGCCTACCTCGGGACGCAACGAGTTGCCAGAACCATGCATGCAGCAGCAGCACTTCGGCAGCAGCAGCTGCAGCAGCAGCAACAGCAGCTCCAGCAGCTGCAGCATCAGCAATGGCAACATCAGCACTACCAGAATCACCAGCTGTACGAGAACTCGCAGGGATCGTCGTCGAGGCATTCCAAAAGTGCTGCGCATGGGCCTCACAGCAGTGTGATAGACCATGCACGTACTATGACTGGTGTGGTGATGCATGTTGTGCAGACTGCGTGCTGGGCTTTCTCAGGTTGAAAGACTCCCCGAGCCTCCTGCTGTTGGCAGTGGGCATCATTGTGACAGTGTACCTTTGAGATCTTTGAGTCAATGAGTGTCAGGGTCTCAGATCCTGAGGGTTGCCACAGGCGGTGCCGCATGCCAGTTCGTTAGACCCTGCGTGGCAGAGCGTAGCTTGGTAATTGAAAAGACCCCAGGACCCCATGTATGCAATGTCGACTCTGGTTTGGCATGTTCTGCGCAGGTCTTCTGCCGTGAGACCTCTCCGAGACTGTTTGCACGCAGAGCTGTCAAAATTATGCTAAGCTGTGTAGAGCCGCAGAGCCTTCAACATCGTTCATCTGTGTAGCTGTTGCTGATGCAAAATTGAGGCATCGCCCTGCCAAGCAAAGACTGCGACGGAAGCAGCGCAGTACGTTCCTCAAGAGCTGAGGCATGTAAGCACTATCCTTCTACACAGCGGGACTGGTTCCACGAGTTGTTCATGTCCATTCCCATTGCAACTCCCTCAAGGTGTACATCTGAAAAGGGTGCGCAATTGCAGCAGCTGGCAGTGAAGTGCACTGGACTCACGACATGGCAAGTCTTTCAGTGGGCGTCATACTTTATCAGATTCATCAGCATGGAGAGGTCTCCAAGAGAAGGGTGGTGAGATGACTCTGAAAGAACTCAATGCCATCCTGGAAGTTCAGAAAGGCACTGGCACTTACAATACTCCTGTCCTGTCGCTTGCACTGGTCACTGAACGCAAGAGCATGCAAGCACAATAAGGTCAGAAGGAATATCTTGCGGCTCTGGCACAGGCAGTGAGCAACTCGGTACGGGTAGCATCGGTCATGCCTCACCCATGTGCAGGTTCTCTTCTACGAGAAGAGGCTGGAAATGCTTCGCATGATTCACCGATGCGAAGCCTGAGGTTTTATACATGACATAATGTTTCTCACACTTGCCCGGCTACGTGAGCGCCTGTAGCAATTTGGGCACGAGATTCTGCTGCACTCGAGTGAGACCCTGGCCGGCATATAGTGCCTCTGCACTCATGGAAAGCCAAGAGGAAGCATCGAAAGAGCCAGGGAAAAGCAAGTTCGTGACAGCCGGTGGACGGGCAGTTGCAGTGGACTGGCGGCGTCTCAAAGATGCCCAAGCATTTTTCGAGTCATGCGAGACTCAAGCCCACAGTCTTCCACCCCTTTGCCGCGATTCTGCTGTCGGTGCAGATGCTTTGCAGTTGCCTGGAGAGCCACCTGGCTCTAGCATTGATGATCAATGCATGAGCAGCGGTGCCCCTGTCCTGGGTAAGTTCATGACAGCTGGCGGACGAGCAGTTTCAGTGGACACCGCATATCTACGAAAGATCCAGGCTTTGTTTGATTTATGCGAGACTGAGAGCAGTAAAGTTTCGTGCGGTCGAGACGATTCGGTGGGCACAGCACCACCCACCAGTTTTGTTGACAATGATGTTTCCGATGCTGATGACCCAAACGCGCAGCATGATACATCTGCCGTGCTATGTCCAGCCGGGGGCGAACCAGTTGGCAAGTTCATGACAGCTGGCGGACGAGCAGTTTCAGTGGATGCAGGACGCGTAAGCAAAGTGCAGCATTTGTTTCAGTCGTCCGAGACTGAAGCCATCAATCTTCTGTCCAACATTCAAGATGACCAGGTGGCTGTGCAACAGCCTGTGTTGCAGCTGCCTCGTGCCGAAGATCAGGGATGCCAAACTCCCCATTGCAATGATTTGCTCCAGATTTTGAACCCACCGAGTCTGACACACTCTGAGAGCAGCCTCCACATTGGCCCTGCAAGCAACGACTCGACAACACATGGCCAACATAACCAGAATGATGTGTTTGCATCGCGCGAAGCAGTGGACAAGTTCATGACAAGTGAAGGACGGGCGGATTCAGCGACTGGACAGTTACATGAATCACTCGCTTTGTTTGAGCTTCGTGAGCCCAGAGCCAGCAGGCTTCGGTCCCGCAGTCGAGACCACTCGGCTAGCCGTGCTCCTTGGCAGCGGCATCAGCCAAGCCCAGACACTAGGGACCACCCTGGGCATACTGGAGATGTTTTCGCCGCTGATGACCCAAACGCGCAGCATGATACATCTGCCATGCTATGTCGAGCCAGGGGCGAAGAACCAGTTGGCAAGTTCATGACAGCTGGCGGACGAGCAGTTTCAGTGGATGCAGGACGCATAAGCAAAGTGCAGCATTTGTTTCAGTCGTCCGAGGCTGAAGCCATCAATCTTCTGTCCAATGTTCAAGATGACCAGGTAGCCGTGCTACAGCCTGTGTTGCAGCTGCCTCTTGTTGGGATGATACGGCCTCTGCCTCAAGCGGCTTCAGAAGGCAGTGAGCAAGCAGTCGGTGGAAAGACCACAGCCTCACAAGCCTTGTGCAGCCAGAACCCAAGAGTCGATCGAGAGAATGCACACAGCGGAAAGCTGGAGCCTGCAAGCACTGCAAGCATTCTCGGAGAGGCAGAGGCCGAGGCTCAGGAGCCGGCCCTAAGCCCTATCTGCCCTCGTGTTCGGCCACAGGATGCGGTTCATTTCAGTGAGGATGGATTTGATGGGCTCTCCGGCATGGGCAGCGGTAAGCGTCTCTTGGCAAACGATTTGCTGGCCTCTCATGGGGAAGATCTTGAAGAGCATGTGCCAGTCACGGATATCTCTTTGATTGATTGGGTGGCTGGCCCGGCTCCTCCCTCGATTGTCCAAGGTTTCGCAGAGGAATGTTGCGCAGAGTCCATTAAGATCTCATCCAGGTATGAGGACAGATGGTTGCGGAATCATCTGGCACAGTTGGCACTTCTGTCATTACGATCGATGGATGCCGTTTCGCGAGACCTCAAGTCGATATGCAAGCGTCTAGGAAAGCGAGCCCGAGCAGAGATTGCTGGGAGAAGGTCTGCAATTTTCCAGATCTGCACGGGACTGGCTCCAGCCGATCAGCACATGGTATTGATGTGCACCGCACCATGGTCGGCAACGTCATGGCTGTTACCTGTAAGGCGGTTGGCCATCTTGCTAATGTAAGCCGAGGCAACTATGCCAGAGTGGACAAATGCAGGCTCAGGCTCGGCATCTCTTGGAAGTTGCTTGTGCCCTCCGTGATGTCGATGCCCGGAGGCAGCGGAAAGCACCAACGCCTTGCCTATGCATACGAAGACGCTTGGATCGAGCTGAGCGACGGCTGGTATTTCATCAAGGTCCGCTCTGTGTCCCGATGATGGCACTTGAGTAAATTGACGCAAACAGGCTGTCCGTAACGGGAACCTGCAACAGGAACGGAGCCCAACACCGTAACACCAACCAGCCGGTTCCCATAACAGCCGGCAGGCAGGCCATACCAGGAAGTGGGGGGGAGGGCTTCAAGACTTACTTTCACATCTAGCATGTCGTCTCGGCTCCCCCACTCAGGGACCGCTTTCCGGTCCCTTACTTACGGGGAAACAGACCTACGATTCCAGCATGCTTTTCCGACATTTTTCAGCTCTAGCCATCAGAAATGCTGGACTAGGGTTGCTTTGGACATCTGAGATGTAGCAGTAAGCCTTCAATCTTGAACCATTCTTCGACATGTTAAAACCCTCTCTGTATTGCCACTGCCATCCTACTGGACCTATATCCCAAACCGTGAATCTTACTGAACCCCAGACTCTATATGCCCCAAACAAAGAAACATAGGCGTGAGCATAAGGCTTGACTGGTCGCAAAGCAGGGGACCGAAAACTGGTTTCCGTTATTCCCAAACCGCACCCGACGGCACTTCCACACGATATTGCGCAGGCTAGCTTGGATGCAGAATTGCACGATCGGGTCCGCCGACATCAGCTTCGCTCCGGAAGGTGCGGCGCGCAAGCAATCGGTTGCTTCTTTACTGTATCTCTCTCTGTTTGTGCACCCGCTCACTGCTGAAGTGCGAGGTTGCTCCACATTTGCATGGCCAGTGCCGTGGACTTCCCAATTGATGGCAGTGACCCATTACAGCTGCCAGAGACTGCCAGGCCATCCCAGTGAACAGCTTTCAATTTTCAACCATGAAACGGCACCAGACATCCGTAAACAGGCTCCATTTGCGAGAATGTGGCTGCCGCCCGGCCTCTGCTAAACGCAACCTTGGGTTCCAGCGTGTTGGGTGCCCAGGGGGGTTGCATGATGGCTGCTGAACATTCTGCCTGCAAGCAATGCAGGGATGGTTTCCGCCAGCCAAGATCAACCAGCTTCACAGAGGCCATAGTCTTGTGCAAAAGACATAGTGAATGGTCGCTGTACAGCAACAGGACTGGTGTTGATTCCCAGTTTGGATGTGGTTGTGCTACGCAGGGCGCTCAGAACTACGGGCTGCTGCTGAGGCTAAGCATGTTTGCTTCAAGAGAAGGCTTCAAGCTCAGGTATCCTACCGCCAGTAGTACGCCACTGGAGAAAGATACATGAAGACAGCTCTTCGTATTGTCTTGAAGAGAGAAGCATCTCGCAAGAACAGCGTCTTTGGGAGGACGGCCGCTGGTCATATTGCTAATTGTAGACGTTATGTGGGAACAGAATATGTCTGGCTGCCTGCTATCCTCTCCCATGAGGAGCATGTACAGCACGTCGAAAGCGACGAGGCTAAGCACTTGTTTAGCGGACATGGTAACCTAAGTTGCAGGCAGCTAGACTGATGCATGGCTTTTGCAAGGTGCCCGAGATGGACCCTGGCAAGTTGCAGCTCCAGGCTCTCACAGCATGGTGCGGTCGACATGCTCAAACTTGTGTAGCTCCAGGTCGTTGTAATAGACACACAAGCACTTTCTCACGCACATCCTGGCCGTGCTTGGTGGACGGGTTTCGAGCTTGATGCTTGCGGGATACCCCCAGCCTCATGTACCTGAAATGCAGGACCTTCGTGGCCTTGCTGGCTATACCTGGAACGCATTTCATAGAGCAGGACAGGTGAGGACGCGAAAGGCCATGATGCACGTCAATATGATCGAAACACAAGGACCTGCTCAAGCCCTTGGACCGTTTGCGCATGAGCAGCCTGAGGCAGGAGAGCTTGGCACGAGCGCAAAGTGCAGACAAACTGCCGCTGGCAGAAGTCCCTTACAGGAAGCCCGCATGCAACGCAGCACTTGGTCCTTCTCGAATCTTTTGCAACAGGCGTCTCGGAAGCATTTCCTTCAAAAGCAGGGTTGAATGAAATGCAGCTCAAGCTCAAGCTTCCAGCACGGTCTTGCAGGAACGCCCGGTTGCAGCACCAGCATGGTGCGGAACGTGCCACCATTGGCCCGTTGCTGCAGTCCCCGTTCGGCAGAGGTCTCGGCCGGAAACATTGCTCACACATGCATATCGGTAACACTCGATTGCTTGTGTTCGACCGTGCTTGGACCGAAACAGATCTCTGGCGCTTGTTGTGGTTGTCCTGCAAGCCTGCAATGTAACTAATCATTGCATCGTCTCCCTCAATCCAATCTTCGGCACAGGTCCACCGCTTTTTGCAAGTCCTCAAGCGGCACCAGCTGGCCACTTCAGGGGCTTCTTGTGCGACTTGATTGGGGTGGCGGTTCAGGCATCGAAGCTGCGCAGAACCACTAGTGGCCGCCAGACCTGCGTCTTGTACCTCCTCACACCTTCGCTGAACATTTGTCAGATCTTCGTGCAGCAGCCCTCCAGCAAGCTCGATGTGAAGCATACACCTCGCCTCATGGATGTCCAAAGATCCTGGAATGAGCTTGCCGAAGCGGCCTTTGCTGCTGCACATCAAGCAAGGTTGCCAACACCTCTGGCCGTGCAGAATGTAGCTTTCGAACAGTCTCCGAGCAGCGATGTAGCATATTTCAACGGAAGAGCACTTCAAATTATCGTTTCGTCTTCGCCTCGTGATGCGCAGCTGCGGCACATCCTGGACTTGTCCTTCGTGTCTCCAGCGGATTTTCTGAGCGCACGCAGCCGTTGCCAAGCAAATCTGGCCTAGGCAAAGGTTTGCAAGCTGGCAACACCTGAATTCGGCACAGTTGCTAGGTTAGCTGATATTGGCTGCAAGTTGGGGACCGCTTGCAGTTCGACCTGTCACTGTCAAAAAGCTCTCAAAAGTGTGCAGTGTTGGGTTCGCCAGTTGCTTGCAAGCTCACTACAGCTGAACTTAGCTTGCTAATTGAGCTGCTGGGAACCTTCAGACACATGCAGACACACGCACAAGCCTGCCCAGGAGTGGTGAAGCTGGCGAAATAGTCGTGGTCAAGCTAAAGAGTCATCCAGCCTGAGGCTGGCAGACAGAGCAACCTCGAGACCTGTTGGGAGCCACGAAGCACCGGCCGAACAGCAATGTCTGTGCCGGGCGAGAAATTGTTGTCCGGCAGTGATCCCAGCCGCACGCCGAAAAAGATCCGGCACAAAGCCGGAAAGGAGAAACGAAAAGCGTTACAGTTTGTTGGCAATAATGTGGTGCTTGAGCTTCAGGTCTGGCACATTCGCATGCCAAGTCTAACCAGATCGCCGCAGCGCAATGTGAAAGTAGGAGTTCTGCGACCCTTAAGAACAGTCTGGAAGCAAGGCTCGACAGACCTCGGGCTACAGGGATTTGGATGCAGTCTGAGCTTTTGGTGCAGATCGCAGTTCCAAGAGTTGGAGGGGCTGCACGAATACAGGACACTTACCTGTATCTGACCCAGCACGCAAACGAAGCCTGAAGCTGACTAGGTTTCTGTAAAATGGAAAAGGTTCTTGCATGAGCGACTATTCCGACAAGAAGTTTCTGCTCAAACTGTCCGATCATGATCTCTGCAAGATGTGGAGGCTTCTCAAGTTGAGCACGCTTGTGCTCGATGATGGCGTACCCTTTCCGATTCTGTCGATTTGGCTTTGCATCCTGTGGCCGCTGCCCTCGCTTTTGTTTTGGTTAGCCGAGTTTTGTGCACGCAGGCGACGGGTCACAACTCCTATAGTGGAGGAAGACAGCGTCGAGTTGCCTTCCATTCCTCTTCTTCGTCCTGCTAGCTCTGCTGAAGATTCTGAGCATGAAGATGGGGCGGGTACACACGAGGCTGCCAGACGATTTCAAGTTATGCTGGCCTCGCTGGAGCATTCCCTACCACATCTTGCAGCTTGTAAAGCGGTTGCTGGAGGGCTCGGGAAAGTCATGGACTTGATCGCGAAGCATCATCCAACAGACATCCTCATGGTCCACCCGAAGGTTGCAGAGGGCCACAGGGTTCAGTACTCCCATTTGGACACGGAGCATTCATCCATCCAAGTCCGCGTCGACGGCAGTTTGCAGACAGTCAGGGTGTACCGATCCAAAGCGGTTCAAGAGCGCGACGGAGTGCGAAGGCAGTTTCTGTTGCTTTCTCACCCTTGGTTTGAGGAGCGTGCACGGCAGTCGTTATACCCAAATCCTCTGTCCCGCCGAAAGGTGCTTCAGTTCTTCTCCTTGTGGAATCAGTGTGTTGGTAAGCTGCTGGCTACATATTGTCCAGATGTGTTTCACTGTCCTGACTTCCACTCAGCTATTGCGCCATGGTATGCTCTACCAACGTGCCCGCAGCTTCGGATGATTCTGGTACTTCACAATGCGGAGTACCAAGGTTCTATTGCAACAGATATGCTCACCTCAGACCAGCTTCAGGTGATGGCAGAAGTGTTCAATGTGCCGAAGATGTTTGTCAAGCAGCATCTTGTTTTCGAAGGGCGCTTCAACATGCTAAAGGCTGCCGTGGACTTCCTGCTAGAGAAGCAGCAAGGGGTTGGAGCTTGTGCAGTTTCTGAATACTATGCTGCGGAGTGCCACTCCAGGTACAGCGTTTTCTGGAGACTTCCAAAGTTCCGTGGCCTTGACAATCCCATGCTGGAGGAGGAGCGGGCAACTTTGCTAGTTGACCTGAAGACTCAGAAGGCCGGAGCCAAAGCCCGATGCCAAGTGCATTTCGGCTTGAAAGAAGATGCAGATGCCAGGCTCTTCGTTTCGCTTGGCCGTCTTGTCAGGCAGAAGGGTGTCGACCTCCTAGCAGATGTGACAGAGTGGCTGCTCTCCACCTACCCCCAGGCCCAGCTGATTGTTATTGGGCCACCAGCTGATGGCTTTGGCTTCTATGCAGCACGAAAGCTCGAAAAACTTGCAGAGACGGCGGCCTTCAAAGGGCGTCTCAGCGTCTGTTGCGAGTTCCTCGAAGTTCCAGAGGACCTGAAATGGGCCAGCGACTACTGCTTGATGCCCTCGCGTGATGAGCCATTTGGATACGTAGACGTGGAGTTTGCGTGGCGTGGAGCCGTCATTGTGGGTGCACAGGCCGGTGGGCTCGGTAAAGTACCCGGGTTTTATTATGTTGCGCAGAACAGAGAGAGCCTGACACGGCTGAGACGGGAGCTGCGAAGTGTCATCTCTACAGCGATGCGGGCGCCGAGCTCTGCTCTCCATGCCATGTCCAGACAGGCTTTGCAGTGCAATTTTCCTGTGGAGGACTGGCAAAAAAGATTGCTTGACCTGTACGAGCAGGTCGTGGACACACGTGACCTTGGAGTGCTCGGGTCACCAGCAAGGCTGCCGGCAACTTGGTTTCCTACACACCACCCAGAACTGGAGCATGTGGAGGCCTCAGGCCCTTCGGCTGTCTCCTTTTCTGGCTCCTACCTGGAAAGCCAAGACGGGTCTCACGAGCTGCCCACCGAGGAGTTCATCCTTCGCCAGGAGCTGTCTGAGGAAGAGTTGAACACGCTGGTCAGAGCCAAGCTGGATGTTTTGGATCAGGATATCGAAACTGTCTTGCGCAGCATAGGTTCCGACAGAGACTCGGAATATGAAACAAGTCCTGTGTCAAAGTGGCTCACCGGCCACTGGCTAGGAACTGCCCGGATTCACTGGCTAGTGTCATGCGGATACATCGCATGCCCACTATCATCTTTGCTGATTCTCGTCGTGGCCACAGAGTGGGGGATTCGAGGTTCCACGGAGCTTCCGGAATGGTTTAAGCGGTTCCCATGGTTCAAGACTGTATTCGGCAACGGAGGCTTAGATCCACCCATTTTGAACATGCTGTTGTTCTCGACCAACGCCCTCTCTACAGCCCTGGGTGCCCCGTTGTGGACATTCGCCGCCTGCTGGATACAGCCTCGCAGGCTGCTAGCAGCTGCGATGCTTTTCCAGGTCCCTGTCCTGCTCACAATGCTCGCGGTTCATCGACCCAATGTTTCACTTGCAACATCCGTGGTGTTTTTGCAAGGTTTATTCAGCTCCGGCTCCCTGCTCTTTGTGGCATTCAATTTCATGCTGTCTATCAAAGCCGACATTAGCCACGCGGCCAAGCGGATGGGAATCTTGGAGATGGTCAGGAACGCCGTCACATGGCTCATCACGGGCTACATCTTTTTGACATCGCCTTCAACGCAAGTTGGCTCAGAGGAGCAGCCGCTGCCACCTTCGGTGATACTTCTTCTCACCCCCTTGGCATTGGTGACTTTCTTGGCCACGGTTGTGCCAGGCGCGCTGTTTTTGGCTGCTCCGGGCCCGTATCGCGAAGATCGATTACCAGGCTGGGAGCTGAACCTTCTCTTCAAACGGCGGACCTTCATCATCCTTGCGCTTTCGGACGTGTTGGGTTGCCTAGCCCTCTTCCCTAGCACTTGCTACATCCGCTGGTGGTTCGCCAATGGCTGGCAAGGGCAAGATCTCGCATGGCTTAGCCTGGTTTTTGCCATGCTCCTTGCAGTTGTGACCTATTGCTGGGCAAAGACACTCGAGCACGCGACAGTACACGGTCTTGCCCTTTTGATTGGCATAACGCTGCTACTGCCACCAGCACCTATGCTGCGTGCTGTTGTACAGGACGAGGTGTCGACCTTTACGTTCTTTGGTCGCTCAGATACTGCACTGGCTATTTGTTGCTTGTCGCTGATCCTTGAAGGAATTCGTTCCTCCTCGGCATGGGCCGTGAAGGTTCGGGTGCTGAATTCGAGGTGGAGGCTTCTCAGCTATGGGACAGTTTCGGTGATTCTTCAAGGACTGGCCAGTCTGGTCTCTCCCTTCCTCTGCGAAGTCATTGCACGAAGACGCGGCAGCTCTTTCATTTCTGACAATGAGAAGGAGCTGGCCAACGCATCACTCGTTTCAGTAGTTCCGCTTTGCTTGGCACAGTTTGCGGTGCAAATGTTTGCAGCACCCTGCATACGACAAGACCTTGGGGTCGCATCCTCGAGCTCTTTGTATCGTGACCCTCCACGCCGCGCCAGCATAAACCAAGCCCGCTGCGGCTGTCTCTGCAGGACAATTCAGGCTTGCTCCATTAAGCATGCGATGGCTTTGCGAAGATTACCTCCCAGGCTGGCCATAGGCTGCGGTTGCTGTCTTGGGATAGCAGCACTTGTCATAGAAGTGGTGCTGGTCCATAAGCCTTTTCCCTTCGAACCAGCTCGACGATGTTTGCAGCAGGGCATCTCACGAAGCCTGTGCCGCCTCATCGCAGACGAGACGGACACACGCCCGGCTGATACCTTCGCTGAATTTGGGCATGGCCCATACGGAACGAACAAGTTCGGCCAAAGTACGACTGGCAAGTTCAATTGCCACCAGCGAATGAAGCGGCTCAACGGGAATACTTTCGCCTTCTGGCATGAAGGCCGCTGCCAGGTGTGGAGCTGCGATCCCCGCTTTCCTGGGCAGATTCCGGATCAGCCACTGGTGGGTGCCGAAATCTGGTCAAGGCATTGCAACATGTCCATGCAAAACCACATCATGGTGCACCTTTTCGAGTGGCCTTGGCCTGCCATTGCTGAGGAGTGTGAGACATGGCTGGGGCCTGCAGGCGTCACTGCGGTACAAGTTTCACCACCAACTGAGCATGTGTTGGGAGACTCCTGGTCTACGCGATATCAACCGGTCTCCTTCAAGTTACATTCACGCTCGGGCACACCAGCCCAGTTCTCGGACATGATCTCCAGGCTCCGACAGCAACCGCTTTACCGCTTTCTTCATTTTTGCTTTAT